TCAAAAATCGTCCCTGCTTAGACCGCCGCTTTACCAGCCATATTCTAGCCATTTAGGGATTCTAAAGGTCCTATGGTCACCTATGAAGTTATAAGTGAACTCCAGAAAAGCTTCGTAGTTAGGACACTTTTTCACTTAGCGATTCCTCCCCCGCTCATTCTGACAACTCCTCAAGAGCCTTCTGGATTGTTGGGGTATGTTTTAGAAGCGTACACCTTACGTCACAAGCTGCCTCTACTCAATTAGTTACTAAAAAGTAAGACTTTTTGTCCCATTTTCGTACTTGCCCTTGTCACTTGGCAATGACATAGATTGACGTATAGACCATAAAGGCTCATACCATTACCTGGAAATAGCCCAGATAGGTTACAAGTACAAGGCTAGCTCTAAGAAGGTCCGGAAGTCCTAAATGTTCCATGATGTCATACTTCCCTACCAACGCTCAGTACTATCCATAATTATCGATCTGGTGCCCCAGCCAGGTAATAAGCCATTGTGATCGCTACGTTCAAACAAAGTCCCACTGATCCCTCCCGGGTAAACAATAAAAGTATTTACTTATTACGATGTACTCAAAGGTAATGGGACAAATTGCAGTAACAGTAAAACAGGTAAAGAATGTAATAAAAAGTTCCTGGCATTGATTACCTCGCTTTCGGGATGCAGGATTGTAGAATTGTTCGGATGGATACACGGCCTTCACAAACACTAGTGGGGAACATCAAGCCTCCCCCTCCCCCCTCGTCATTTCGAAATTTCAATTGTAGTACTACAACATGGAGAGGAAGGCGTAGATTTCGTGGTGGTGACTTTTTCGATGCGCCTCGCACTCAACTTCCATTAGGAATCGCAGTGGCATTTGAATGCATATGTGACCTATACATTGACTTCTGGGCTCGTTACCATATACATTTGGAGTTTTTATCCTCCCAAAAGAGTATGGCAACAATTAGCGGGCTCGAGAAGGGTAGATTACATATGGAATACCCTTTGTGAAAAGGGTAGAACACATGGGATACACTTTCTGAGCCTCAGTAAATAGTCATGCACTGAGAATCCATAAAAAGACGACAGCGAACGGCATAAAAGTTAGCAATGTCAACAAAAAGGGAATCCGCAAAAGAAAACAAATGGAACCACCCGTGATCACTTCAGATTTTTAACATTATTCAAATTTGAATTGAAAAACTTTTAAGGTTCAATGAGTTCACTTCACTTTCTCGCATGAGCATCTTGCCTTCCCTTCCCACCCTATCAAGTAGTATAAGTACTTTATTTGTTTTTTTTTCGGACTGACCAGTTGGTTATTGAACAAAAATATTGATGAAGTTGTATTTCATGGTGATTCATAGTAAACAAATAAATAAACCAATAGTTCGTATCATACCTGAGCATATCAGCAATACGTTCTTTTCTTTTGTGCGTTGGTGTAACGACGATGATTGTCTTTGTATAGTTGACAGTCGTTTCATGTTCACATTTCCGA